ATTCATTTAAGATCTGTAGGGATCATAATACTAATAATAAAATATTTGAATGATTTCAGTACTTTTCTGTTAGAGTAATTACAGGTTGCACAAGCAAAGCCTGAAAGATTCTTTGAGTAATAATTTCGCTAATCAGTCACTTCCACTTAAAGATCCTGTGATAGATCTAATTCAATACACAAGCTCTTCTTAATTTATTATTTACTGATCAATTCAGCAAACTTTACCTATATTTCCCCAAAATTTAAAATATGCATTGCTCCTTCTATATAATTCTATACCAAAAAATATCCCCAATAAATCTAGCACTTGTGAATCTTTAATCAGTGATGATAACAAAAGGACAAAATATCCACGCTCACATGCATTTCAAAGTTTAATATTGGTATAAAATTTTGTGTTCATGTATAGTTCTTCAGATACCATGCATGCTCATGAAGGCTTCTACCCAGAATTAAACTTTGTTGGTCTTACTTTATTAATTTATTTTTTTGTTTCAACTTGGTTTTATCTGGCAATATGCCCTGTAAGCCGCCCTGAGCCTCCGGGGAGGGCGGGATAAAAATGTGAATAATAAATAAATAATAAATAAATAACTTTTATTCTGCCTTCCCCGCAAACGGGCTCAGGGTGAATCACAATGACAATATAAAATAATATAAACACGATAATTCAGTAGTTAAAACAGTATGAATCAAAGGTATAGCTATAGAATGAGAGGGACTTGGCTTGACAGCAGCACATGTGAAAGGGATCTAGGTTCTGGTTGATCACAAGCTAAACATGAGCCTGCAGTGTGATGTGGCTGTGAAGAAAGCTCCCTCTTGTTCCGCTCTATTCTGCTATGGTCAGGCCTCACCTGGAGTACTGTGTCCAGTTTTGGGCACCACATTTTAGGAAGGATGTTGACAAGCTCGAGCGTGTCCAGAAGAGGGCAACCAGGATGGTGAGAGGGTTGGAATCCAAGTGTTATGAGGAGAGGCTGAAAGAATTGGGTATGTTTAGCCTGGGAAAGAGAAGGCTTAGAGGGGACATGATTGCAGTCTTCAAGTATTTGAAGGGCTGTCATGTAGAAGATGGAGCAGATCTATTCTCTCTTGCTCCGGATTGCAAGACTAGATCTAATGGGTGGAAATTACAAGGGAGTCGTTACCGGCTAAATATGAGGAGAAACTTCCTAACTGTAAGAGTGGTTGAGCAGTGGAACAGTCTGCCTCGGGAGGTGGTGGATGCTCCTTCGCTGGACATTGTCATGCAGAGGCTGGATGACCATCTTTCAGGTATGTTGTAGATATGTAGGGCTATCTTTCAGCTATGCTCCTGCAGAGTGCAGGGGGTTGGACTGAATGACCTGCAAGGCCCCTTCCAACTCTAACATTCTATGATTCTAATTAAAGGTGCCACTGGACCTAAACTTTGTTCTGTTGCTTCAGACCAACACAGCTACCTACCTGAATACATTCAAAGGACAGCATGATAAAATTACATATTTAAGGGTGATTGCATGTATTTATGTTCAAATATACATGATGAGTACAAAAAGTCAAGTTTAAAATGGCTTAAATTACCTTGCAAATAATGCTCCATGTGAAATGATCCTATGTTGCTTTTGAGGTGATCTGTGAATTTATTAAATGAAAACTGTTCTGAAATGAATTTGATATGGTAAGGCTCTAATTTAGATAAATGAATTGAGGCTACTAACAGGGAAACAATTGCAGTTGCTTCACATTTATTTATATCAGCCATCCATATGCAATAGTAACATTTCTGTATGTAAAATCTATGGCAAGGTAGAGATGTTAACAGCCTGAAAAAAAGCTGGAAATGTTGGGGAAACAAAGGTCATATTTTCTCTTAGAATTATGGCTGAAAATGCTTTGTTCTGTAAAGTTGACAGTACTTTTACATACCATTTACTACCTCGAAAATATTTTACAATAACTTTGTAAAATAATCAATGATTATTATCATTCCCAGATACTATACAGACATGTAAAACTCTCAGATCCTCTCACCACATTCCTTCATCTTCTGTTAAAGTAATTTGTCTGTGTTGTAAACACCAGATCAAAAAGTTAAAGTGAAAAAATTCAATCCATGCAGCTCTTTAGTTCTTTGAAATTATTTTAGATAAAAATGGAAGCTTACCATCAGAAGATTCAGGAGTTGATTCTGATTAGAGAGATGAGCAATGGTAGTATCTTTAAAGTTATATTGTTTAAATTGCATGTAGCTTGTTTTATTAATCATCACTGTATGTGACGGCAGACTGCAGAAGAAATTGCTGTTACAAAGTTTTCCTTGGTATCCAGATATACAGATAAGCCCAACACACTATTTTTTCCTATTTTCCCAAATGTCAGAGACTAAGAGGAGCTTAGATAATGTAAGGTGCAGCACATTGCTGTTCTGTCTGCATCTGTATCAATGGTTCTCTTATCCTTGAACAAGAGGTGTCTTAGTAAATTCATTCTAGGGTATGAAATGATTCTGACATGATAGTGCAAGCTGGAAAAATGTTAGCTTCATTGTTGTGGTACTTATGCAGTCTCACATGGATACTGCACGTGAACAGGCCTATTGCGGAGAGGATTTTTTGAAGCTCAAAATGCCTAGAGGGGCTCTGTCTATTTCCCTCATGCTGTTTTCTGCCTTTTACAGCATGATATAGAGGGGGTGGAGCACCGTTCCCTCAGTTCTGTCTCTGCAACCACTGCCAACAAACCTACCTCATCAATGTATCTAGAGCTGTTAGCCTACAGAATATCACAAAAAGTTGTCTTGAAGAAATGCAGGCCTTGTGGGTCAAAAATTCCCCACTTGGATTACAAACAATGCCTAGTATGCCTCATCAAGGAATACAACATATCACACTGTTCCATGTGTGTGAAGGCAAGGGCATGACAGAGTCTCTCACCTAAAAGCATCACTGGGGAAAAAACTCTTAGTTGGCACCACTCGAGACCAAGACCAAGCACTATGCTGCCTTCTGCTACTGATAGAAGGATCTGAGTGTCCTCAGTTCCAAGGATTCTGAGACCGAAGCTTACAATTCTGGACCCAAATAAGCCCACTGGAAAGCCCACAGGCTCAGTCCATGCATTCCCCAGAATTAAGCTCCTTGGAACCACTGTTGAAGAAGGTTTGGCACAAACATAAGCATATAGAGAAGCCTTTGTCCAGTCCCTTCTCATCCTCATCATAAGGACCTGGTTCCCCACAAAACCTCCATGGAACTGGACAGAGACTCCGTGCCAGTTCTTAGAATGCCTTCTCCATCGGGTCACTCACCGTCCTGTTCCATTTCAGAGAGCAAAATCCAGGACTCAGAGCTGTCCATCCTATGTCATCAACCCCCTCATCTCACCATTCAAAACCACCTCCCCAGTCGGTTCCAATGGGATTGTATTTGACATCATCCCAATCCCCGTACCAAGACTTCCAGTATGGACTACTATGACCACAGCTGAGATTCACACACTTGTCTCAGTTCTGACCAACAGGGAGTGGGCCCATACAGCATGAATGATCTAGGTTTTCAACAAGAACGTCATGAAGAGATGAACATGTTAAGGGAGTCCAATCTCAACTTCGATCCTGATTTTGAAGATAGAGAACAGCGATTGATTGACAGGCATGTAAACAGGTCTACTGGAGTATGAGGGATGAGACACTGGGTGGCCGCTTCCTCTGTGAGCTGAATAGTATGGTCGAAATCCTTTCAGAAGAATGACAGCTTAGTAATTGCTTCAGTAGGCTCCAGCAAAGACAAGAAACTGTCAGCCCAATCCATCAAGATCGATAGTCACAGGCAACAGACTGTTATAAACTGGCACAAGTTGACTGCCCATTGCAGATCTATGCCCACTCTACCTGGGCACAGTCTACATCTGCAGCTTTTCTCTGTGGTCTCTCCGTGGTCTCCATCTGCAAGTCTGCAATATGGTTCTCCTCCTGTACCTTTGCAAGATGCTACATGATGTATGTGAATGCCATAAGAGACATGGCAGTGGGAAGTATGGTCCTGCAAAATCTATTCAATTAAGAGCTCGCATCTTCCTAAGTTTGATAAATTAGCTCACTAGTCTTGCATGTGGGACGGCGCAGGTACCACAATGAGGAAAACAGGGTTGCACATACCTGTAACAGTTGTTTGGGTGGTCACCTGTACAGTCAAATAACCCTTCCTTTTGCCCTGCTTTGAGCTCTACTCAATTTGGTAACCATTACCTTACCCTGGCAGCAGAGGAACTGAGGGAAGACCTCTCTGCCTTCTCTATATCATGCTGGAAAAGGCAGGAAACAGTGGTGGGGAGGGGGATGGAGTATCTCTAAGCATTTTGAGCTACAAAATACCCTCTCCATAGAAGGCCTGCACAGTACCCATGTATGACTGCACAAGTAACCACTCAATGAACAATAGTTACAGGTAAGTTCAACCCCATTTTCCAGTTACAGCAAGGCATTGTAGGCTCAAACCATTATGTACAAGTTAGCACTAAGTTTGGCACTGGTTGTTTACATATTTATTGCAGAGGTACTCAAGAAAAAGAAGAAATGCACCATAACTGTAAAAGGCAGCTTCAATACTGGTATATATTCAAATGCAATAATAGTGATGTTTTGACATAAAACATCATTTTCTTATGGTCTCATGTTTTTTCTTATTTTGGAGTTCTTTAGGTGGCAACCCAGTTATCAGTTAGCACCCTGATCCACGTTATGTCAAGGGCAAAGCCAGATCCCCAGTATCAAGCAAATGTCTTACGAGTAGGTGGTATGAAATAGTAGAAGGCAATACAAGAGTACCACATCAAATACCACTCCCCGAACAGATGGCTAAAGTGGCTGTTGTACTATGAGTGTAGTTAATTTTCCCTGGTCACCTGAGTGTATGAAATTCTATATCTGAATATCAGGCAGTGCTATAAAAACTGTCTTTCAGATCTTAACAATTTTTAAACATTTTATAACAAATCATTTCTTTTCCCCCTTAGAACCAACTTATATCACAATAGGTCCTCCCACATGTTATCCTCTCGTGAACTGCACGTTAACTGAGAGAGACTGTGTCTACAACTTCAGAGTTGACCAGAATGGTTGTCGCATCTGTCAATGCAAAACAAGTAAGTATGCAAATAATCTTGAAAAATCAGTTTCAAAGAAATATCAACATACTAATCTGATACCCATGCTTCGCTACGGTATTTAAGTTCTGTAAATCCAGTTATAATACTGATGATGTGAAGTTTGAACTGTAACATTTGTTGTAGGAATTCTAATGGGGAAGATTGTAGTGTAAAAAATGAGGTGAGACATACGTACTGGTTTTTCCCTCTGCTGAAGGACCTCTCTATGGACCACATTGGTGGTTCTGCCCTCAGGTGCTAGGATCACCAGGCTGCTTGGTGAGCTCACCCTGGAGCAATTCACATAGAACTGTCCATGTGAGAAGCAGTCGTCTGTTAAGTCAATTCTTGCCACCTTCAGACCTTGGGACTTGTTGATGGTCATAGCAAAGCAGACCTTGAGGGAGAATTGCAGCATCTTGAATTCGAAGGGAGTTTCTGATGGTATGAGTGGTATGCTTGGTTTGAACACTGACTCTCCCTGAGCACTGCAGGTGAGCAGTGTGGCCTCGATGTTCCTGTGCAGAGCCTTCACTTGCAGTCTGGTGCCATTGCAGAGTTTGGGTGGGTTGAGGTTTCGCAGCAGCATCACTGGAGCCCCCACTTTGAGGAGAAGTTTGTGGGCTGGGAAGCCAGGCGGGTTGAGGTGTAGGAGGGTAGCATGTCTGAAGGCATCAGGAAGGCTGGGCCAACAGGACTACTAAGGCGATGCTGCCTGGGCAGCCTCCCTACTGGCTTTCAGCACTCTGCACCTGACAGACAGCCACCTATCAGGTGGAGGAGGGGTAGGTGGGAGATTGTCTAAAGCCACTGGGGAGGCTGACCCAGCAACCCTGCTAAGGTATTTCTGCTCAGGCGACCTCCCTGATGGATTAAAGTACCCTGGCCCTGCTCCTACACCTGACAGACTTCCGCCTGTCTGGTGTTGGGGGGGAGTGTGTTTAAAGGCATTGGGGAGGCTGGACCATCAGCAGCGTTAAGAAAGTCCTGCTAAACAAGCCTTCCCGACAGCTGTAAGCATCCCTCCCCCTCTCCTACACCTGACAGGCAGCTGCCTGTCCAATGTAGGAGGGGGAGGGGTATTATAAGCCGTTGTGAAGGCTGGGTCTGCAGGATCGCTAAGGCGTTACTGCTGGGGTGAATGGCTTTAAGCACCCTGCACTTGTGGCTGCACCTGACAGACAGCTGCCTGACAGGTGTAGGACATGGGGGGAGCATGTTTGAAGCCATCCTGGAGGCTGGACCAGCAGCATTGCTGCATTTGACAGGTGTCTTGCTGTTCCTAATTTCCTCAACTGTCATTAGCTCTCTACAATCTCCTGTAACTGGGTTTTTTTGACCTCAAAACACTGAGCTCTGTAACTGACCAATCAGAGGGTGCAGGGTGCAAGAAGGCAGCAGCCTGGCAGCCACATAGGAAGCAATGGGGGGGAGCACATTTTATCCATTTTGACCCCCTTAGGGGTCTAATTTCTAAAAAAAACAATTCCCTTCCTAGTGAGCTTCATTCACGAGTGGTTCACGAGTGAGCTTCATGTCACGAGTGCTCTCCCTGAATTTCGTGTTGTTAGGTCCAGAGGTTTGGCCTGGGCGTTGATTTTACAGTGAGGGGACTTTCTTTTATATATATAGATGTATATCCTTTGCAACTTCACATAGTTCTGCTTCTCAGTATTTTCATATCACACACAAGAAAATAAAATATAATACAATTCATTTTGTATTATACAAAAAAACAACTTTTAGAAGGACAATACTCTTTTGAGAAAAATCTTGCATTTCTAAGTACAATATTACTA